TTGTCCCCATGTAAGCCACTCCGAGTCCCTTCAGGGAGATGGTGGTGGGATACAAAAAAACGTTGTTGTTGTTGTTGTTGTTGTTATTATTATTATTATTATTATTATTATTATTATTATTATTATTATTTGAACCACAAGATGAGTCTACAGCAGATACTCTGCTGGCTGTTGAATTGGATCACACATCGGACACTTCCCAAGTGTCTAAGACTGTGTGATGTATCGGGGAATAATGTATGCAGATCCCAGTAAGGCAGCCTTCTGCAGCTGGCAGATGGTAATTTTGTCAGTGCCATTGTGTTTAAATGCAGGCCAAGGTCTTTAGGCACTGCACCCAGTGTGCCAATCACCCCTGGGACCACCTTGACTGGTTTGTGCCAGAGTCTTTGCAGTTCGATTTTTAAATCCTCATATTGTGTCAGCTTTTCCAGTTGTTTTTCTGCAATCCTGCAGAGAAACATATTATTATTATTATTATTATTATTATTATTATTATTATTATTATTAGGTTTCTAGAACATGGCTATATTATCCCTGAAACCACAGAACACCCTGTCATTCAGTTTACTTGACAAGATTTTCATAGAGTAGATTCGCCTTTATCTGCAGTTGAGAAAGTGTGACTTTGCCAAGGTCACCCAGTTCGTTTCCATGGCTAAAAGGGGATTGAAACCCTGGCTTCCAGAGTCATTGTTCAACTATCATATCACTGCACCATGCTGATTTTAATTTTACACATTTTTATTATATTTCTTTATTTGATTTACATCTTACCTTTGGCCAGAAACAGATCCCTAAGGCAGCTCATAGCATACTTAAACAGATAGAAATAAAAGCATCAATAATTACATCTTAGAACTCATTAAATAAAGAAGGTTCCCCACCCCAATTCATATAGATGATAATTTGAGGGTTTGTAATTATTTTTCATTAATAATATTCACGGGGACATGTGATCCTTCGCATTTGCCTGCATTCAAAACATGGATTGCTTTTATTCAGAAATAAATAAATGAGAAGCTTTAGTTTCACCCAATTTAAATTTTTTTTACAACACTGGAGTAATTTACATTGAAATCCTATATATGTCGATTTTGAAATAAGGGCCACAAAGTTACTCCCTGAGGGATAAGATAACAGCCTTAAAGGTAAAGGTAAAGGTAGTCCCCTGACATTAAGTCCAGTCATGTCTGACTCTGGGGTGTGGTGCTCATCTCCATTTCTAAGCCAAAGAGCCAGCATTGTCCGTAGACACCTCCAAGGTCATGTGGCCGGCATGACTGCATGGAGTGCCATTACCTTCCCGCCGGAGCGGTACCTATTGATCTACTCACATTTGCATGTTTTCGAACTGCTAAAGATAACAGCCTTAGTCAATGATATATTTCACTAGTATTGGCCAGAACCATCTATGTCAGTGGCCCTTTAAAGGAGCTGTCCACAGTGCTGAATCCTTTGCTCACACATGCAGTTTCAGCACCTTGGATAACTACTTTAAAACATACAGATCATAGAACTTGGCACTCTTATGATCATTACCAGAATCATTTCCTTGCACTTTGAGTGTTTCATCGCCTACATTTAAACTATTGTCGAATAAATCCCAATGTAAAACTGCTTCATTTGGTGCCATTTGAGGGTAATTGATGTCTAGTGGTATTATGGTATATTTTGAAGCACAAGTCGTCATTAAAACAACCCACACTCAGCCACAATCACACCCCAAAATCCAATTTTTAAAAATTGAGGCAGGTGTGTTGAGTCATATTAGTAGTCCAATTCTAGCAGTCTTTCAGTTCTCCCTGGAGCAGAACTTCTTAAAAAACGTAATGTTAATTACAGATTCAAGACCATGACATCTCAAAATGCTTTGTACTGTAACAAAGATTGCTGAGAAGAGCCACCCCCACTACTGTGAGGATTACATAAGGAAGAAGGCTGCCTCAGAGGGATGGAGGATGACACCATTGTTCCTTCTAAACAAAAAGCTCAGCACTTTGACCCCAGGAACATTAGCTGGAATTCTGTTAGTGACATGTTCTGCAATAATCTGCGTTTATCCTAGCATGTGAAATTTTGGAAACATTGTGAAAGGAGGCATTCAGTTTCTTCTCACATAGTGTGTCCTTCCCCACAAAAGACAGCTTGCAAGTACCAATGTGTTCTTCCACAGCCATTGGAATTTCAATCTAGGGGACTGTGGGGGGCATCAAGGGTCTGGAAAACAAGTCCTATGAGGAGCGGCTTAAAGAGCTAGGCATGTTTAGCCTGAAGATGAGAAGGCTGAGAGGAGACATGATAGCCATGTATAAAGATGTGAAAGGAAGTCATAGGGAGGAGGGAGCAAGCTTGTTTTCTACTGCCCTGGAGACTAGGACATGTAACAATGGCTTCAAACTACAAGAAAGGAGATTCCATCTGAACATTAGGAAGAACTTCCTGAATGTGAGAGCTGTTCAGCAGTGGGAGTCCTCTTGGATTCATCGCTTACGCTTGAGGCTCAGGCGTCGGTGGTGTCCGGGAGGGCTTTTGCACAATTGAGACTCGTGCGCCAACTGCGACCGTACCTCGCGAAGGCTGATCTGGCCGGGGTGGTCCATGCCTTGGTCACCTCTAGATTGGACTACTGCAATGCGCTCTACGTGGGGCTGCCCTTGAAAACGGCTCGGAAATTCCAACTGGTCCAACGGGCAGCAGCCAGGATGTTAACCGGGGCTCATTACAGAGAGAGGTCAACCCTCCTGTTCAAGGAGCTCCACTGGCTGCCGTTTATTTTCCGAGCCCAATTTAAGGTGCAGGTGCTTACCTACAAAGCCCTGAACGGTTTGGGACCATCCTACCTGCGTGACCGCATCTCCGTCTACGAACCCACGCGTTCACTTCGGTCATCTGGAGAGGCCCTGCTCGTGATCCCGCCTGTGTCGCAAGCGCGCTTGGTAGGGACTCGAGACAGGGTCTTTTCTGTGATGGCTCCCCGACTCTGGAACGCCCTCCCAAGAGATTTTAGACAGGCCCCTACACTGGCAGTCTTCAGAAAGAACTTGAAGACCTGGCTGTTCCAATGTGCCTTTTCAGATTAGGAACCTCCAATACCAAGTCCCAGAAGCACTTTAGTAGAACTAAGATTACTGCACACTGCACTTACTTATAATCCTACATACCTCCTGCCACATCAGCACTTTTAATCTTGTACCCATTACTCTGGCCCGGCCCAGTTTTATAGCGTTTTGATGTATTTTTTACTGCTGTTGTTTATTCTGCTTAACTGTTTTTAATTTGCTTTATGTATTGTATTGTTGTATTGTGTTTTGAGGCCTTGGCCTGTGTAAGCCGCATCGAGTCCTTCGGGAGATGCTAGCGGGGTACAAATAAAATAAAATAAAATAATAATAATAATAATAATAATAATAACTCTCTGCCCCAGAGTGTGGTGGAGGCTCCTTCTTGGGACATTTTTAAACAGAGGCTGGATGGTCATCTATCAGGGGTGCTTTGAATGCCATTTTCCTGCTTCTTGGCAGGGGGTTGGACTGGATGTCCCATGAGGTTTCTTTTCCTACTCTATGATTCTATGATTCTATCTAGATATCAGCTGGCTGCAGCAAGCAACTACCATTCTCCCAGGTCTCTAGTGAGGACCACAGATTTGCTGGATATCTTGCTGGACGTCTGCCCTTTCATCTTGCTGCAGGACTGTAGCTGAACATTGATCGGGTGCTCCACCGCTTTTACAAACATCACTCTACATTTTCGGTTTAGACTTTTGCTAATTTGATTATTCACAGCTTTGATCAATATGTTGTCTCTATGAATCTCTAAAAAAGCGTATAGTGTCAAGATTGAGGGAAGCCATGGTGCCTCTCTATTCTGCTTTGATTAGTCTTCATCTGGAATACTGTGTCCAATTCTGGGCACCACAAGCTGGAAGGGCAACTAACATAATTAAGAGTCTGGAGAACAAGCCCTATGAGGGGTGTCTTAAAGAGCTGGGTCTGTTTAGATTGCAGAAGAGAAGGTTGAGAAGAAGAGACATGATAGCTATGTATAAGGATGTGAAAAGATGTCTTAGGGAAGAGGGACTTGGGGAAATGGGTTCAAATTACAGGAAAGGAAATTCCACTTGAACATTAGGAAAAACCTCCTGCCCATACGAGCTGTTCAGCAGTGGAACTCTTTGCCTCAGAGGGTGATGGAAGATCCTTTCTTGGAGGCTTTTAAACAGAGGCTGGATGGCCATCTGTCAGAGGTAGATTGATTGTGCATTTCCTGCATCTATTATTCTATCAGTCATGCTGGAAGACCAAGACATTTGTATAGAAGTGTTCTCTCAGGTTAAAAATACTATAATCTTCTCGCCCTGCTCTCAGCCCCGCCTCTGTCTCAAACACATTTGGCAGGGATGAGGGGCAGGGCCTTCTCGGTGGTGGCCCCCCACCTGTGGAATTCACTCCCCGGGGAAATTAGGTCATCGTCATCCCTCCTCACCTTTAGAAAGAAGCTAAAAACATGGATGTGGGACCAGGCCTTCGGGTAAGGCGGAAATGACAATTGACAATGTTGACAATGGCTTGGAAATGGATTATGGATGTTAAACAGAGTACTCAATCATAGTATATGGCTAGATAAATGACCACCAGACTGGTAATAGCTCAGTGGACTGTACGTATATTATGCGACATCGAATTGTTGCCAATTGGAAGCTGCCCTGAGTCCCCCCAGGAGTTGAGAAGGGCGGGGTAAAAGTGTTCGAAATAAATAAATAAATAAATAAATAGCTGTGGGGATATGCACGGTGCTTGGAAACTACCATCCATAGAAAATGGAATTGGGTACCTTCACAGAATAGTACTGGCAAAGAATTACCTCCCCCCCCAAGTGATATAGATTTTCAATTCACGAACACTGGCTATACCTTCTGGACATATAGGAAAGTTAAAATCAATCTGATCTGATTCTGAATTACATGCAGCAACCGCTTGTTTTTTTCTGTTTTCAAGGAATCACCACCGTCTTGACCATGACAACACTGAGCATCAGCGCCAGGCATTCCTTGCCCAAAGTTTCCTATGCCACTGCCATGGACTGGTTCATCGCTGTGTGCTTTGCCTTCGTATTCTCTGCGCTCATCGAATTTGCTGCTGTCAACTATTTTACTAACATTCAAACGGAAAAAGCAAAAAAGAAAGCTGTGAAAGCTGTCACTGATCTTCCAGCATCTCCCAACCAGAAGGAAAATTGTGCAGAGGAAGCACCCACGGTATTGATTTAATACACTTTTCGAAGGTTAATAGCAAAATATCTAAAGAGTATCTATTGAAAAAATGGTCATACATATGGGTCAAAGCTGAGTTGGATACCCAGGTCTTAATCCTTTTGTTATTTTCAATTAGAATAGATTGATTAAATCAATTAATTGTTTTACCATTCATCTATTGATTTAACAAATCAGTTATAGGCAGAACTAGCTAATAGGATCAAGACACCAAAAGCCCATTTTGATTTATGTATACCATCCTGCTTTTGCCTGGTATCTGGTTTTGCTATGGAGCATTGCCAGTCATTTTCACCTTTTTGCTCCTTCTCCTAGGAGTGCCATTTGCTAGGCAAATAAAGATATCTCACTTTAAGTATGGGGGTTAGTGTATTGCATTTATTATTATTTAAAATAGTAAAAGTTTTAAAAAATGTGTACACACTTATGAATTGTAGTTTAAAATATTATTGCTTTAGTTGATTTTATTTATACATATTTTGGTGTGTGTTAATAATAAGTGCAATAGAATATAGTATAATCTAAGAATAATATTAAAACTCTTGGTGGTTTCTTTAAAAGAGAAAGAAATTGTGCTGTCTGTCTCAAGGCCCTTTCACACTATATAGTTTTAGTGTCATGATTCCACTTTGGCTGACTTTGTAGAGGGGTACAATCTGCCCAAAAGTCATGCCATTTCAGAGTACATTTTTAGCTAACCCCTCATTCTGTTTACGGAGAAGTTACTCAAATTGGAAGTGATGTTGCTGTTTTCATTCAGCAAAGATTTGGCCCATCAATAGGAATCTTTAAAGGCCCAAACCTCAGTCATTTTAAGACCTAGCTGCATGAAACCTACCTGTTTTAGACCCCATTTACAACTGCAGGCATGCCAAGTTTCAGAACAATTCACCAATCTACTGATATTTAAGAATTATTTTAAATTTTAACCATAACATTTTGAAAAATAAAACAAACCGCAAGAGAGAGAGTTCTGGGAATTGCAGTCGCCAGTTATGTCCATCCTCAGCCAATCAGAGCATGGGCACAACCAGGCTTTTTACTGGCTGAGAAACAAAGAGAGAGAGAGAGAGAGAAACTTCAACTCCCATCATACTCCAAGAGGAACTCAGAGACTTTTCAATATCCACCTCATGCAAGTGCTCTTGGGAAAGCAAGTTTTCAGCAGGGTCCTCTCTGGAGGAGGAGCCTAGGAAACTTTCCAAAAAGAAATGGATGGATGCTGCTGCTGGGGAGGGAGAAAAAGATGCTGCAATAAAGGGACTCTAAAACAGGACTGGGAAAGAGACAGATTTCCAGGTGTTGTTGGATGGCATCTGCCATTGCAGATATTTTTAGCAACTGGAGAAGTAAAAATTGGACCTGGGTGATACTACTACCATCTGGAGTGGCCTATGATAGGAAATATACCTGGCTTTTCCCATGTATCTTTTCAAATGAGACTTAAAAACTTGGATTTTCAGCCAGCTTCCGTTTGATCCTGGCATGCATTCTGTGCACTAAATTGCACTTTCCACCCAAATTGCACCAGAATCCAAAGAGAATTCCTTGTCAGACAGAATGTGCTAAGTGTGAGCAACCTGTTCCAATACCTTCCTTCACTGCTGTTAACCCATTGTCTGTTTCCTTTTGGCACTCACTGGTACAGTTATGTCAACATACTGCACCAACCAGATCCCTGGTCTATGCTTTAAACTATTATTTATTTATTTATTTATTTATTTATTTATTTATTTATTTATTTATTTATTTATTTATTTATTTGAAACACAACAAGATGAGTCCACAGCAGACAAGATCACTCTGCTGGCTGTTGCATTGGATCACACTTCGGACACTTCTCAAGTGTCTAGGACTGTGTGATGTATTGGCGAATAATACATGTAGATCCCAGTAAGCTGGCCTTCTGCCACTGGCAGATGGTAATTTTGTCAGCGCTGATTGTGTTTAAGTGCAGGCCAAGGTCTTTAGGCACTGCACCCAGTGTGCCGATCACCACTGGGATCACCTTTACTGGCTTGTGCCAGAGTCTTTGCAGTTTGATCTTTAAATCCTCATACCATGTCAACTTTTCCAGTTGTTTCTCTTCAATCCCGTTGTTACCTGTGATTGCAACATCAACAATCCATACTTTGTTTTTGAACACGATCATGAGGTCAGGAATATTATGCTCCAAAACTCTGTCTGTCTGAATCCGGAAGTCCCAGAGGAGTTTGGCGTGTTCATTGTAACTTTTTCAGGCTTGTGATCCCACCAGTTCTTTGTCGCAGGCAGACGGTATTTGTGGCACAAGTTCCAATGAATCAACTGATTATTATTATTATTATTATTATTATTATTATTTGTTTGTTATGGAACGGCAACTTAAAACTGTCCATGTTGTTAATGCATGCATGTCTCTGTGTAGACTCAATGGGCAGTTTGTTAAAAGCGGATACTTGCTCTCAAGACTGGAACAATCCAGAAAAGTTAATGCGGAGGCTAGCTTTAATTCTGTGAAGAATTCTTGTTTGCTTTGAGCTTGGTTCTTGCTGCTGGTGTCTCTGACAATCATGACTTAAGCAGGTATATACTAGGATGTAAAACATTATTTGAGGATAATCAAGGGTATTTTTGAGTATTTTTCTTGAGAACACAACTATAATTATTTTCTTCGCACTTATGCATTTTAGTGCTTTTCTAGACAGGAGGTATAGAGTAATCAGCTAGTTTCCTCTTCCTTGCCAGCCTGTTTAGTATTGTTTTAATCACATAATGGTAGCTTAAAACAAATTTCATATAATTTATTCAGCTGTGATATATTTAGTAGCCTATATATATGCACACTGATAACTTGTTACACATTAATAGTAATGGGAATTAAATGCAGCTTGGGCTTTGTCACTGTGGATAGGAGCGCCTTCAGAAATGACAAAATAGGGTAGGATGGTCAGGATGGATGAACAACAAGCACATTTCATTTATAGTAGGGAAGTGTATAAGCTTTAGCTTTGATGATAATATATTTTTGTGGTAAAGGTCTTGCTCTCTGTGCTTTATGTCTTAAGTGGGATCCATGGCTAGGTATGATGGAAAGAACCTTTAAAACGTATGAGCAACTCAAAGTGATTGAATCATTCATTAGACATGGAGTAGAGGTGTAAACCTTTCCTTACTTTATAATTGCATGCAACAACATAATTTTAAAAGGTTTTCCTGCACCTGGCAAGTTTAGAAGAAATTTTAGTCACCTTTCAATAAGTTTTTGTACATTAGATTTTTTTCATGCATTTTTTCCCATTTATTTTGGAAGAAAAATGTGTTTTCCACAAAACAGGTGTTTTGCATGAAGTAATTTTTCAGAATAATTTTCCCCACAGATGACCATTTTCTTGATAGTTCTTTAAAGTACAATTGTGTGAGTTCATTTGTTGTGTTCATTAGGGTGCTGTGTGAGATTGACAATATATTGATTCATTTTTTATTGCCCTTCTTTGTCTACAGATGTGTTTGCAGCCAAAATATCTCACTTATATCATCCCACTGTTTCCTTATCCCTCTATAAAGCCCCAGGTGTTTCTAGTGATGTCCAGGAGAATTTTTAAGACAACTCACCCATTTTATGATTTATATAACCAGACAGCCAAAGAAAGAAATTAAATGGGCATAATTCTCATCCCATTACAGTTGAATATATAAGAGCTTCTTTTCACCTTTTATCTGTGCATAGAGTAAATTCATAGCAGGGGTCAGAGATTGTTCCCACGGACACTGCCATGGATCACTGTGCATTCAACTAATATGAGAATGATTTTGAATGTGTCTCTATGCATACTGGATTTGTGATATAGCTTGGGGACATCACCTTTTTGTAGTTTGACTCCTAAAATCCATGCATGAAGCTCAGAGTAGTGGTCTAGCTGAGGAAGTTATAACCTATAGTCCTATCATGGAAACCTGGCTGTGATAGTTGTCTGCACATAAAACCAGTTCTTGCCTTATGCCAAACATTATTATCCTGCTTTCTCTCTCCATAAGGAGACTCAAAGCAGCTAACATTAAAAACATTACAATACAATTTAATACATACAAATATACAAATATTAAAACAGTAATAAACATCATTAGTATTAAATATAATTCAGATAAAAACCATGGGAAGATAGAATTATGGTATACCACATATGTTGTCTCCCCGTGCAGATGGGTATGCAGCAAGGCCTAAAGACACTGCAGCTGTCTGAGCCAAAGGGTTATGAACAGAAAGAGAACGGTTTCTAATTTAGATAGTCTTGATTTCCCATATTTAACTCATTTTGTGCACATGCACGCACTTTAGCAGAGCACATGCAAAAGGATGCAGGACAGGAGCCAACAGCTTCAGACACCTGCAAGGCTAATGCTGCTTCATTTTGACTTCAATTGAAATTCACTAGCTCCGGCCTCAGTGATTATAAGATATCAAAATGACGATGATTGATATTAATTATTTATTTAAAAATGTGGATGCCACTATGTTCAACAAGGCTCATGACACTGCAGAGATAAAGCACCAGAAGATTAGTAAAACTAGCAATAATGAACTCTAGAATATTAACATAATCTATATGAATAAAAATATAATGTTCGTTTGTGGGATTAACATAACGCAAAAATCACTGGGCGAATTGACACCAAATTTGGACACAATACACCTATCAGGCCAAAGAGTGACCATCACTCATAAAAACACTGAAAAACACAGTGGAAGGGGTTTAAAAAGCCAAAAAAAAAATACATTACAATGCATTCACAAAACCACACACACACACACACACACATATATATACACACAAACACACAAATACACATATATACACACACACAACACATATACACAGACTGGGCCACAGCAACGCATGACAGGGGATGGCTAGTGGGCTCATAAAAACTTAGGATGTTAACATTCAATTATTTCATCATCACAAGTGAAGACAAGTAATTTACACATTTTTCTACACCACAGA